TAACTGCAAAACAAAGGTTATTTGTCTTTTTATAGTGTGTGTAAATATCTGGTTTTATCTAGTCACTAAGCTGTTTCGCTAAAGTGATCATTTTGAAATTGGCAAGAATATTGTATTTTCATCCTAAAAAAAGTATCTTATTGTTGCCCTATAAACCTTCTTCTTTTCAGTGCCTACTTCATCATGTTTACAATGGCAGGGAACAGGAGGGATTCCTATTATGCAGAATTGCAAAAAGATCTATTTTATGAAATATAAGACCAAACATCTGTGCTTGCTGCAGGACCAGGAGGATGAAGGTGTGTCTCGGGTTCGAGTGACCAGCAGGAGCAGTCCCCTCAAAGTGGAGCGAGTCTCCGGTGTTGTGGCGCGCTCCCTCGTCGAGATGCCAAAGGTCAGAGGAGAAATGACAGAAATACTCGCAATAAACTTGCTAAATAAACACAAATACCTACATCTTCTTTTAATATTATTCTGTAAGGAATCGCAGAAAGCATCTTGAACTATTTGAGTCTGCAAGCCATCAAAAAACAATCTAAGTGTCTTTCCTAAAATGCATCTGTTTGAATGTGGTTCAACAAATGATTAAATCAGGGGACAAAATACATACATATGCTCTTGTTATTAGATTTCATCCTTTTACAGCATGTTGAAGGTTATGGTGATGTGTTACAATAAAAACCTTTAAGAGGCACAAACATTTTTGCAAGACACTGCATGTATTTAAAAAATTTAAAATAACCAATCGATATCACCAGGAAGGGGTACTTTTGTTCAGAATGTCAATTTGTCATTCAATAAATGTTTCGGATTAGGATTTCAAGTGTCGGACTTTTTGAAGTGTCGGTTAGTTGCTTAACGAAAGGATCTCGGTTCTTCAGCTGCTGCTTTTGGCCTCGTATGAACCAACTTTTTGCTAGATAAATCAGATGTTTGGCAGTTTCTTCAGAGGCTGGCCAATATGAGCAATCGGATCGGTCCATGTCTTTCGTGAGGCATCTCAGTAGCCTGCCATTTTCCTCAGTGCTTTTACAGGCCCTTGTGTTCACATGCGTTCCCCATTACAACACGGCCAGTGGCACATGGCAGCACAGTGGCTGCAGGCGCTTTGCTCCTCAGCTGCGCCCAGATCTAGTGCAATGAGTGGGTGGTGGAGGTGGGGGTGTAAGCATGAGGATCAGGGGAGTTGAAGGGGGTTAAAAAAAACAAAATACAGGAGGGGTGCAGGCGGTAAGCACATGGGTTCAGTGTGCATGGATGATAATGGCTGCATAAGAATCCAGTGACGGCACAGGTTGTGTGCATGTTTGATCCTCCCACTGTCACTTTGGGGGAGGGAGGTGAGGTGAGGCGCAGGGAACGGCAGAGAGCGAGAGGAAGAGAGGAGAGGAGAGGAGGTGGTGGGGGGCATAGAGAGAAAGATGTGGAGGGGGAGGCTGGAGAGTGATAGCAAGGCGGCTGAGAGGCGAGGGCCGGTGCAGTGCGGAGCTGGAACGGACACCCAGAGCTCAGCCTCCCCTCCTATCCCCCTAGTTACCATGGAAACCACATTCCTCCCCCGCCTGCATCCCTTCAGACTGCTCTGCCGCTCTATCTCTCTCCTCGCTTCTCTGTTTTTCATGCTGTCTTTTTCATTCCTCTTTTAATTTGTGTCTGTTTTTTCTTTTTTTTATTCCTCTCTCTTTCTTTCTTCTCTTTCTCCGGCGCGTGCGGTTTTGCACATTTTGCGTCGATGCACACACAGCATGCACACTGATTTCAGGTGCGTTGCACTGTTCTGTGGCTGGGTGAATAGGCAATTACAGTTTATTTAGCATTCCGCTGCACTCACAGATGCATAGGCACTTTGTTGTATTCTCTGCATCTCTCTATTTTTACTTCCCCTTCTGTTCAGCACCATGCTTCAGTAAAGCCCCCTCTAGTCATTGCATTTCTGCCCACACACAGGGCACCTTAGCTTCATCTCTCCTCTTCCATGGCATCTGTCATGGACCTGCAGCACCTTCATCATATAATTCCAAATACCCTCACCTTCCTGTCAGTTTTTAGCTGGTCTTTCTAACCTCTTACTTGCGTTCCTTTTCATAGCTCTTCTGTTTTCTTCTTCGTTCCCTTTATGCTTGCACAAAATCCACCATTCTCAGTGGTGCAGCTCTGATAAAATCTCCCTCATTAACCATCAATTTTAGCTTCCCACAGCGGGTATATTTCCCTTTCTCATTATTCTATCAATTGGTGGTGCTGGATTTAGCTTGAATAGCTGAGCAGCTGCTTTTTTCTAATTAATAGTGTCTTTGCCATCTTCTTTTTCAGTATTTCGTCATGAAATGATGCATAACCCCACATTACAAAAGTTTGATGCAATAAATGTAAAGTAGCATGTAGACTGGTATTTTTTGCACATATACAACTTGCTTCTTCATTCTTTCTTGCAATAACTGAATGGCCCGGCAGAGGCTTAGTGTGTTTTTATTAAGAACCTGCCCCTTTAAGACTGCCTCACTACCGACTGTCCTTTTATGGTCATACATCCTGTCAGGTGACAAAGGAGCAGTCACACAGCTTCTCAGAGAAATGCCTAGAAATGACTGAAAAGCTCAATGCACGGTTTGTGCAGTGGCTGGGGCTTGTAATGCTCGTTATGACTACATGAATGTGTGCGTGTGTGTGCATGGGTGTGCATGTGTGTGTGTGCTACAGGATGTCCAGGTGGGTTTATGTAATAAGGGCTGTGCAGCCTGGTTCTGAGCTGATAGTGTTGAAAGGGCTGCAAGGAAGAAAATTATTTCCTAATTTAATGCATCTTCTTTTACATTTGCCAGTAGATTTTTAGAGGGCACATTTATTTCAAATAGAAATCAATTTATAGAGTGGTTCATTCATAAATTTATGCAGTTATAATTGGTACTTGCAAATACAATAAAGGAAGAAATTGGTTTGAGTAACATTAATCAGGATTAAGCTGGAATGTATATAATTTCATATGAATTTGAACTTTTTGAATTTGGCTTAAAAATAATGTTTTTTTATTATATCTTAGTTAAGTTTATTATTTATTATTCATTGATCATTATTATGTAATAATGCCAATTTTAGTTTTTTTTGTGAAATTTTAGGTTCTATAAACTACTACATTTTGGCAGTACTTGAATATTTAAAGAATAATGAATATTTAACAATTAACTGAACTGGATGCTTTTATAAATTTGAAATAAATTTTTGTTTTTATTTTGTTTTATTGGCAACACAAATGGACAGTTCTGAATTCATAATATTAGTAACAGTTTTTATATTTTTGTTTTTATAAATCATAATTATTGTCATTATTATTATTATGAGATGACAATTGTTATCACCCTTTTGTCTTTTCAGCTCTCCCTGTAATGCAGAAAAACTTCTTTAGATATAAGTTTGTTTTCTTCTTCTCTTGAATTTTGCTTGGCGTTCACAGCAAAACGATCTTGTATGTGGATCTTTATTTGTTGCTGAATAATTCTCTGACTGCCTCATTTTTCTTTATTTTGCAAATCAATATACATCTGTTTTGTTTGCTTATGTTTGCTCTTCTGATGGCTTTAAAGTGAACCACAGAATAACACCGGGAAGGATTAGTTGCCACATGTGCGTGGTCATGTGTGCCTGGATCGATATGCCGACATCTTTTGCTTCAAACCTTCGCCTTGACGCTCTCGTTGACTTCGGAAGAGTTTGTGGCTGCATCCCCAGGCGTTCGCGGTTTCCTGCTTCTGCATAAAATTGCACAAATCTCTCCTTCTTCTTGAAGGAAGCACAAGGATAGAGTGAAAGAATATCATTAAAATGAAGTGAGTTACTGTTGCATGTAATTAAGTGTGGCTGAGCCTGCTGTGTGAGCCACTTTTGGCCTCGTTTTAAGATCCTGTTCGGTTTGATAAGAATGCTACTCTGATGTTGAATTTGAATCTGAAGCACACCATGTTCAAATATAGGCGCCGTAACATGCAAGGCTACATATAAACACACAATGACACACCCAGCTCTGGTCCCCATTAATAATGCATACGTACAGGGCTTTAATGGCGACACTGTAACACTTTCCATCAGCTCCCTGTGAAGACAAACCTTTCACTCTGTGTCAGGATGTTTTGTATCCAGTTTGTGACCAAACTACAAATTTATAAGCATGTAAAGCGGCTCCCAGGCAGTCCTATCCAATTACTGAAATATAACTGCCACAGCAACATGAAAGCCATATAGGCTCTCCTTCTCTCCTTTTCCCTTCACACGTTCACACTCTCAATCTCTTCCTCCACCCACTCGAAAGCCAAAGCGTGTAATCTTATTGGTTTGGTACACATGTGTTGATGTCATCATTGTGAACGTGAAATAATTCCCCTATGGTTCTGAAATGAGGATCCACGAGGGCAGATTTCTCCCACTGTGCTCTTTTTGACCACGTCTTGCAGAATAATTCCAAAAAAGACAAAGAATGGTTGAAATGTAAAAACTCTGTGATTGTCTTATGCTTATGCTTCTTCTGTGAGATTATATGCAGATGTGTGTCGTGGCACAGAGCCTCAGGATGGCCAGTGATAGCACAGGACAGGCTTTAAGTCTGCAGCTGAACTGGAGATGACCGGGGAGGTGGCCAGTGATCATTTGGAGGGACAGGGGTGCTCATTGTAAGTTGGATTTTGGCTGCACTGGCCTGATGAAAAACATGGATTAGACTCACTTTTGATGGATTACGGTCTGTGGTTGTCATTGACTGATTGCGGATTAGGACTCCCTTGCTCTTTCTCTTGAAAATGTTAAGAAAATAAACACACGCGGTGCTTTTTCCCCCCCTTTTTTTTTTCTTTTTTGCTGTGGCGTACTTTGTGAAGAAGTGTCTTCTCACCCAAAGCGGGCAGCAGCGAGGCGTCGGTGTCGCTGCCCCTTTAAGAGCAGCTAGTGAAGCGCTCAGTCCTGTTGGTGCTGCTGCTGCTGATGGCGACGCTGCAAGTTGATTGGCTGTGGCTGTCAGGACTGAGCTGCTAGAGGGATGCTGCTATGTATCCTTCCCCCTCCTCCCTCGCTGCTGCTCCTCTCTCTATCTCTCTCACCAGCCTCCCTCTTGCTCGCTCGCATCCCTCTGAATAATCCACATCTAGGGCAAGCTGACTGAGAGGCGATCCAGCGCTCAGCTCCTCTCTGCAGCCTGAGAAAAGAGACAGAGAGCAAAAGGCAACGATTTTCAACGCAGGAGGAAAAAAAAAAAAACGTGAGAATTTTTTTTTTGACACATCAAGAAGATACAGAATCAACCAAGGAAGATTTTCATTTGCGGATATCATTTATTTATACATATTGTTTATATATCTATATATATATTTGTACACACGCATATAGATATTTATATATATAAATATACATTTATCCTTGTACATATCTGTATTTGTGCTCGTCTGTTTATATTAATATTTTTATATGTATTTGTGTGTGTAAATATATATGATATATAAACAAAAGAATCTATATATCTATGAATTTATATGCGTATCACTGTGAACCAAGAGAAGCAAGAAGAAATTTCTATCATCAGGGCTGGTCTCTGATTGCGTGTTGGCATACAATATCTTAAATATTTCCTTTGATCTTCTACGTCAAGAGGACAAAGACTACGTGCCCATTTTGTATTTTTTGTTTTCCTGTTGCTGCTTCCCATCCATCTCAGTTTCAGCTTCTTTTTTTTTTTTTGTTCTCTACATCCACGAGGAATAAAGCAACCGGATTTGACCAAAACAGAGAGTAAGAGAGAGAGAAAAGAAAAAGAAAAAAAAAAACACGACAGAGGGGAAAATCTGTACAAATTCCTGTGATTGGTGTTATTTCCTTCGGCGCTAGCGCTCTGCGAGCTGATCGCCGCGTGCCGTGTGAGATCTGAGGAGGCAGCAGAGACCGAGTGCCACGCCGCTCATCCCAGCGTCAGCCCAGCCAGCACAGCCAGCATGCACAAACACCATCACTGCTGCAAGTGCCCAGAATGTTATGAGGTGACCCGTATGGCAGCTCTGCGCAGGATGGACCCCCCAGCGTACGGAGGAGACTGGCAGGCCGAGCCCTATGGATACCCACCTGGGTACGGGGGAGGCCAGACCTTGCCCCCTCCAGCCTCAGGAGGGGGTGGAAGCATGGGAGGAGGAGGAGGTGGCGGGGGTGGAGGAGGAGGTGGTGGAGGTGGCACTTTGGGGAGAAGTAAGGGCAAGATTATGTCTGGTGGAGGCCCTGGAGGCCCAAACCCAAAGGGCCAGTCCAAGTGTGGCCCCAAAGTAAACGGCAACAACTCCAGTGGACAAGGAGGATGGTGGCCTGAGTGCACCTGCACCAACCGGGAGTGGTACGACCAGGTAATCCTCTTTCCTCACTCTGTTAGGGTTTTGTAGATATCACAGAAGTGATTGCAATAGTGACAAATAAAATCAGCTACTTCAGGTAATTAAAGATACTTCTAATTTAGTAGTCACCTCAACCCCCCCCCCTTAAATTTGTTGACTGGGGTTCATCTGTTGGAACAGGATGAATCTGGTTTCAGTGCACGTACATGGAGATGATCTGCATGTTTGGGAGTAATGCAGATGACTAATGCCTATAGATTTAACACACCTACTGTGTGTCGTCAAAGGCTTACACTGATGCCGATGCCATAGGCTAAAGGATTGTGTTTTTTCTTATGCTTTCAAATTTAGATTTCTACCCTGAAATTAGTGTCCAACTTTCGAAATTAGATGAAGGAAAAATGGATTTGTTTCTGATCAGCTAAGTAAGGAATAAAGTCTCATTAGCAAATTGATAGTGAAATCGATGTTTGACACCAGTGTCGTTTTCATTAGGCAGGCCTTGTGATTAAAACAACCTCGGCGTAATGAGATTGTTTTGTAACAAAAGAAATCAGCCTGTTTCTAAATGTTGCGTCTTACATGTTGCACAGAATGAATGAAACTAGCTTTTTCTTCCCCCAGTGGGCTCCATTTTGTTTCCATTAGTGTAATTTATTTACACGTATGTACATAAATGACGGTTAAGAAAAGGTCAGGACAGTTTCAGAAGCTCAGCCTTTAATTAATCAAGGTGCACGTATGTGAGCATGAGAGAGATCTTTGGGCGGGGGGAAGGGCAGCTTGGCGAACATGAGATTCAAGAAATGGCTCTTACTGTGCATGAGTATGTGTTTATGCAGTCTTGCATTCGCGGCAACTGAAGCCATCTGCATTGTTTGCATTGCAATGATGTCGTTTATGTTCAATTGTGATTTGAGAATGAAAAATTGGAATATGGAAGGCAAGAAGAAAATGGAGCCTTCATCTGAGCCGCAAGCTTGCTGATATTAGCAGATTAAAGCTAATAGGAGGGATTTCAGCTTTAGGGCCGTGAATGTGTCTTGTTTTTTAGTTTCTGTAACATTACATTCTAGCTTCATCCAGACCAATCAGGCATTTTAAAAGCTTACAACAAATGTGATTATGTAAGCAGTTATTGTTATATGGGCATTTTAATGTCCATTAGTGGACTCCATCATTTATAGCCAAGAAATTCATTCATTACTAAAGTCACACAGCATAAATTGGCTAGAAATTGATAAAATATCTTTAAGTTGTGCTGTTTTTCATTCAGGGGTCTTGAGTTGGTTGAAAATGCACCACAGAGGAAAACGCCTCTGTACTGGATCTTTGCATCTTTCTACGATGTGAATTTTCACCTCGTGTATATGAATTGTTTAACGTGGCGCATGTGCCTTGAGTGCAACAGTAGCTATAGTTTATCTGTGACGTAAAGAGATTGAAATTCAGATGAGCAGTTAGGGATGAGTTGCAGGGTTAAGTGGGGTAAAAATGTAAAGGCTGAAAAGGGGAGAAATAAGCCAATAAAGGCAGGCGGCAGCCCAAAAGGGGGGGTGTGGTTATGTAAGAGGAGTCAGTTGGTGGTGCTGTCAGAGAGAGGAGCTGGAGAGACACTGACACTACGGGAAAACATCTGTCCCTCCGTCTTCTATAACATCCATGTACATGTCCAGTTTGTGTCTCCACTCCTGTCTGCGTCCAATATGACATGGCTAGAAACATACATCTACGATCTGTCAATGTTGCTCATCCGTGTGGGAAAACGTAAATCTGGCTCTTCTTTTCTCTAAGTATTCCTGGAGAACAGGGCATTTATCAGTCAATAATTTTACTAAAGTTGTCATTAACTGGTGGATCAAATATTTCTGTGTGAGCTATTTATATAAAATTTACAGCATATGTCAGAAAAAAAGCCAAGTAATTAACACATGCAAACAAATAAAAATAAAATAAACAATATAAATGAAATGATGCAGGAAGTGATTATTAAACTCAAAGAAAATGAGCTGCAAAAGGGCAAAGAAAGGCAAGAAATTAGCTGAAATACCTGAAATTCTCAATACCTTTGCAATCTTTGCTGTTACAAAAGATATTGTTGGTATTATTGGTTAAAGATGTATTTCTAAACTATTATTAGTATTTCCAGTGAACCAAGTTAAAAGAACATAATTTCATTATAAATCTATCACAGGTGTTTCTTACAAGATTCCTGAAAGAGGAATAAAACAATTAAAAGACTTGACATCCATAACCCAGAGACCACGTCATTGAACTGCAGGGGTACAGTTTTACAGTAAACATATCATTAGCCTATATGATATGGCTAATGATTTTTTGGTCAGCAGCACAAGACTTCACTTCTGAAGAAAAAGCTTGTTAGATCTTGCTTAAAGTTTGCTGCAGAAATAGGCTAATAAAATAGTGAAGTTAGATGAGACCAAAATTTAAACGCACCATATTTTTGCAGTAGGAGTAAAAGTGCAAATAATTCCAAACACACCCAACCAACAAGTCGGTTTGTAGATAGGAACCTCATGGTGTGGTGCTGGTTGTCAGCCTTTAGTCGAGGGCTGAATGTTGTCTTGACACAAGTGTGAAAATGAAACAAAGATGGATTTTTGTTAAGACATTGAGTCCACACAGCCAAAGAAATAAATTAGTTTCGGACCTCAAAACAAAAATGATAGACTTTTCCATTCAGTAGCCTTGACTTGAATCCTTCTGAAAATCTGTAGGAAGACTCAAAGCTCACACTGTGGCAATGCATTGCACTCATTTCTCCATAAATATATAATATCATATTCTATATTATAATATATAATATGCATTTTATATCATTATATGGTATATATATAGATATAGATATATATGTTTTTGTATAAATCCAAGAGCTATCACGTTATAATGTGATAAGGATCTTGTTTAAACGTGATAGTTATCTTACTATCTTGTTTTAAGATAACTATCACGTTTAAACAAGATACATATCACGTTTTAAAGTGATAGTGCTTTGAATTTATTTTGCCTGCATGATAGCAATGTGCTTCTGTAAAATCACACTGATAAAATGAAACAAGACACAATATGTTTTTAAATGAGGCCTACCTCATTTAAAGAGAAGCTCAACCTGACGACTTTTCTGGGACACCAGGTTTGTTGAAAATGTAACAAAATGTGATACATTATTTCTAAAATTTATTTATTTTTAGGTATTTAATTTTAAGTTGTTTATTTTAACTTTATTGTAAATGTCAGGGAGGGCTTAGCCCTACTAGCCCACTTATACCAGCTGTCCCTGGTAATGTCCCTCCCTGTTAACTACCCATGTTTTTGCAATCTAGCATGATGAAAGGTTGAAACCATCCTCATTCATTCAGAGACAAATGTAAAGCATCACTGCCTCTCCTAAATAAGTCTAAAGCAGTAAACATTTCATGTACATGTGAGGAAACACCCTGGCACATGATGATGCTTTATTAATTTTCCCCCCTTGTCGTCTATTTACAAAATGATTGTACTGCTTTTGTTAGGAGCTTGCTAGGTTAATTATGGCTGATTTCAGCTGGGATTGTCAGAACATTCTTTTAAAACAAGAGCTTTAGAATTTAAATCTGAGGAAAGTAGAGACCTCAGTCTACTGGGATCATCCGTTAGAAAGCTCCCTCTTTCTCCCGCCGGGCTCCAATCTGTCTTTGTCTGTTCTCCAACTCTGTGGCTATGATTAGCTTTAAATATTAATTGGAGTTTACCTTATTTATTAGCATCAAGATTCAGTTAAAAAGTGCTCTGCCAGAAGTACTGCTCATAACAGACTGTGTAGTAGTGTATTAAATGAATGCACAGACACAGTGGGCGTTCCTTGCTTAACACTCCCATAGGTGATTACTACATGAAAGCCTTCAGGCTTTGATCAGAATGCGTGTGTGTCCCTGTGCGTGTGTGTGTGTGTGTTCTTGCATTTTTACAGTCACATTGATTTATTGGTGTCATTGGTCTATACATCTGTCTGATGAGATTTTGCTGGGGTGGATTTGATTTGCCTTTCCTGTAGAGTATTAGCAGATGGGATTTACAAGTGCAACACGTCCAAATGTCTTGAGCTGGATCACACACTGCGATCTTAAAAGGATCCGTCCTAAACCAGGGATATTCTCATCAGTTCGGAGATAAAAAGATTTATCTGAGAACTTCTCAGAAAGGGAGTTTTTTTTTCTAAATATAAGACTTAGACCATGAACAGTGTGATTGGTAACTTCATTTCTTCCATTTCTACCCAGTTTTTTCTGGCCTTCTTGTCATGAGGAGTCATATTTATATTTGGAGGAGAGGCGACTTTATATGACACGTAAAAGGCTCTCTGATAAAACTTATTTTTATGTTTTAAAACTTAATGACTATGCAGTTAACATTTTGATGTGTCCTATATTAAGAGTCATTAAGGTCCACGTGTATTCTCCAGAGCAGGGAATAAATGAAACTCAGTTTATCAAAAATCTGAATGTTCCACAAGAATTTTATTAATACATTCCTAAAGAACATATTGATAAAACCCATTAGCCTATTAAAATAATAATAAATAGCTGTCCCTACAGGAATTTGATTGTTTTTGTGTCTTTTTGTAATCAAAATCACAGACTTTGTGGTGCTAATTCAGAAATATTCCTAAGGGATTTTTACGATATTACATACCCACCATACATTACGCTAATGTTTGATGTTAAATGTGACTTTTTGTTACTCGCCATATTGATCACAGACTATAATTGGACATGAAGTAAAGCTGAGGCAGCAGACCTGGTGTTTCTGACCAATTTTGAGACAAATGGCAGTAAAATCAGGAAAAACTGTTGATTTTGTGTGAATTTTGCAGATTTGGTTGTTACTGGTGTAATTTGTAGTTAACAGGGCTGCATAAAAAGTTACGATCCCCGGTCTTGAGTTTGACACATGTGCTCTAGAGAATGTACATTAGCGAAAAGTAAATTTATTCCACTAAGTGAACCACATTA